AAGAAAATTAACTCTATCCCAGCCGAAACCAGGACAAGACAGCAGTATGGAGGAGATGAGTCACTATGTGTTGCATTTACAATAGTGTGCATGTGTAACTGGTGTCAGAATTCGTCGCAGGAAAATGAATAGTCTCCTGCAACTACCAAAATAAGAGTTTATTGTTGAAAAAATGAAGTTATATTTATGATAGACTGGAAAATCTGACAAAAACAAGTGTTTACAATTCAAAGTGCTGCTCTTACCAATATAATTTATAAACGGCAATGACTATGAACAAAGGAAAATTATTGAGTAGGCATTTTGTTTATGACAGTCTTTTACTTGCAACCAATGGCAAGGGAGAGAAGGTGTCAACATGTGAGAAGATGTCAGACTATCCTTAGAAAGCATTTTGCCTCCTCACATGCATCTCCTACCCTCCTCCATGACAGAGGCACACAGCACAGACGGCAGCTGTCTCAGGGAGTAATCTCAAAGGCAGGCTTGGCTTACCATGACACCAACAAGGTTTCAAGGTCTTTTGAATTGTAGTGCGAGCCAAGAGCTCCCCACGACCACTGTACATCCAAGATGTGGGGCAACTTGCTTCTTACCATGAAGACGACAGGAGCCGCAGACCCAGGGGCTCCCACTAGCTCTGAACAGAAGGCACTCATATTTGTAATAGCTGTGCCCATGGGTTTTCCTGCATGTTTCTGGCTTCCAAGACTGCTGTGATCAGCCTGCCAAGTTTGAGGCCAGCAGCATCCCCAGGGATACTTGCAGAAGAGCCCTATGGTGGCCTTCACCTCTGTAGCTCAGTGACATGTCTTTGCAGCCACATTCAATGTGGTTCATCATTCATGTGCAGGGACACTTCTGCTGCTCAGCTTCAACTCAGACCCACACTGGGCAGGTCATGATATGCTGGCTGTGGACACCCATCTAGCTGGGCTTTACTCTCATCACCTGGCAGATGAATGGGCAGAGCTGACTTCATTCAGCTAACTGCAATCTGGTTTCTTTTCTGATTTTAAATCAGATTTCTCTCCATTTCCTTAAGAGATTAACTAAATCTCTACAACCAACCCATGCCTTTCATGAGCCACAGCATAAACAGGCAGCAACATCTTTATGTGGAGTGGAGCCAGAGCTTCTTTTACATCAAGTAAAAGTAGTACAGTGTGGGTCAGCGGCCCACACTATAAATCAGTAAGTGCAAGAATTCCACGGTCTTTGGCAGCTGCACTTCTCACAAACATCTTTTTGTTTATCCTGAGGTCAGATTTGCAATTACAGACAAGAGAATCTGTTTTCCCTTGTAGCTGTACCTAGGTTGGCAACCACATGGCTCTGACTTCTAGGTTTTCTGGTGTTGCCTGGATTTGCTGCATACCAGTGAGCCTGGGTCAAGACTCGGGTCACTAGTTTGAGAGGTTACATGATGCTACATCTGGTTATTTAGATGCTACATCTTGGGTAGTGGTTTTCTACCACTTTCCCTCAGGTTTTTTACCTAGGTGTCACACAGCCACCATGTATCAAAGTGAATACATTCACATCGGCCACTGTCACTTGGGTTAAGTACTGGTGAGGAGAACTGCTCTTTCTATTGCTGTTCAGAAATCACATGGCACCATCATGAAGCTTGCCACTGAGAAATAACTCTCATAGACGGATGGATGGGCATGGACATAGCTGCAGAACATGCAGCCTTTAGCAAGCATGCATAGGATTTTAAGATGTGTTTGTGCAACTTCATCAGTCCCCAAAAACTAGGTGGTAGGGTCAAGAAGACAAAGCCACTGGGGAAATAAAGAGAAAGGCTGCGTTACAAACTTCCATTCGGATTTCCCACTCGGAATAAGCACAAAACAAGGCCAGTGCATGGGCATGTGATGTTCTTCCACACAAAAGATTATCAGAAATAATATTTCCCTTCTTTAGAGTAGAAGAGCACCAATGACTTCCCCTTTAATAACTCAACCTAATGTTAAAGCTCTTCTCAATTCCTTCAGCCTTCCTACCAGTGAAACGGGATGAAAAAAAATTTTGTTCTTCTCAGCAAGACATTAGCCACAACTGGAATGTTTCATGAGAAGTTAAGTAAGTATTTGAAGCCAAAAAACTTAAAATAAATGTGGGTGGAAAAACACATCAAAAGAAGAATGACAAAAATAGGCATCATATCATGGAACAAGGTTAGGATACATTTAAAACAAATGCATGTATATTAATATCCCAAAACAGTTACCTTGGTCACAGAAACCACCCTAACACCATACTGCAGTGCCACCAGGCACTAACACACTAGGATAATCCTGTTCTAATACTTCTGAGCCAAATGGGATTATACTCATGGCCTTTCCATGTTTCTCACAGTTTTTCTTGGATGTTCCTACCAGGCTCAGGAGAGTGCCAGACAGCACACAGCAACAAAGCACTCAGAGGCTGGAAACAACAGCTTGGATTATACGTATAATCCACACAGATGAGGCTGTTCAGGTAACAAGGAATTTTCCTGCTTGTGCAATCCTGCACCCCAAATTTATCCACGTCTTTTCCAGGCTGGGACTGTGAATCTTTAGAAAAGCTCAGTGGAAATTCACAGGGCTCAGGCATACTGGAGGACTGACAGCTGGACACTACAGAGCAATGCATTCTTTCAAATGTAAATGGACAAAACATGGTCATAAGTGTCAGGGAAATGTAAAAAAAAAAAAAAAAGAAAAGAAAAGAATATGAAAATTTGGGCCTCCTTACCCGTCATACAGTCTTTGTTCTGTGTCAAGGGATTCTATTTGCTTCCTTCACTGGCACAAACAAAATTATTCCCATTAGCCCCAAGGAGAGGTGACAGCTAGCTACGCAAGCGAGAGATGGATTCTGTTCTGCATCACACAAAATCAACAAAACAGTCAAATGTGTTCTAGCTCAACAACTGTCTTCATTTTTTTTTATTTGCACTAACAGCAATGATGATGTGATAAAAGTCGCCAAATGAATGTGGCATGATTACCATGTCGGGTGGCTGGGAGAAGTCCCTGGCATGAAGCTGGGGAATGTATTTGGTGAATTTTATTGAAAATATTATAAAAGATACTGAAAAGTCATTTTTCTAGAATTATCTTTCAACAACACACTGTCCTAGCTTCTGAAAAGCCCTATCCATTTATGTTAGGAGGATTTGAACTAAAATGTCTTCCTTCAGTAGAGATGCTTATTACTTGAGACAAGACTAGAGGAACAAAGCAATTACATAACCTTCCTCCTGTATTTTTGATTTGGCATACACAGTTCACAAGAATAGTTCCAACTTAATACACTTAATACATTTTGAATTAGGCTAACTGTGACTTGACAAAACAGCAGAGCTCTTTTAATTAAAAAATAACTAAAATATCATCAGATGAAAAACTTGGCATTTCTCATCTATTTTGCACTAACAGAGGCTGCAAACACACAGACTCATTTCAAAAAATTATGTTGCAACTCTCCCATACTTCTGATACTTGTTAAAGGATACTGCTGCTAAATTTTTTTGGGGAGTAATCATTTGTCCATTTATGATTTTGAACAAAAAAAATCTTCCAATCTTTGTCAAAAAGGGCAACAAAGAAGGAATCGGATAAAATATAAATACAAGCACTAGTATTGGAAACAAAATATTTAATTACACTAAGAATATTTAAACTAAAATTAAAATAATTTTACAGTTAAAAAATTAAAGTGCCCATCAATTAAGATTTTTTTAACTGGAAACATTTTCTCTGTATAAAATAATACAAATCTAAATCCATCCGTGGAAAATGTATGTATTTTTGATATAGAATTGCAGACTGGTTTGGGTTGGAAGGCATCTTTAAAGATCATCTAGTCCAACCCCCCTGCCATGGGCAGGGACACACCTTTTACTAGATCAGGTTGCTTAAAGCCCCACCCAACCTGACTTTAAACATTTCCAATGATAGGGCAAGGATGTATATCATCAGAGGAAGTTATCCAAATATAACTAATGTAATATATTTATTGCACTGTTTTGCTAATGCTATACTACTTTGGGCAGGGGGAAGCATTCCTCTGCTATTTCCCAGTGATACAAATATAGAACAAAGCTGTCATGACCTGAAGTGGCTAGAATGATACATAATGATTTCACCTGGCCTTTGAAGCCAGCAGCAGGTCTGACACCAATTGCAGGTGAAGAATCAGAGCTTTATCACTGGAGGTACAGCCACCCCAATGCTACATCCAAGCAATGAAATAAGCCAATCAATAACCTGCACATTCACTGCAGGTATCACACAACCTTCTTTTCTTGTTCAGCAATAAAAAGCAGTAGCAAAGAAACAAATCATGTGATATCTCACCTCGCTATCTTGTCACTGCAGGACATGGTAAGTAGCCTTTCTCCTTGCAATACACCATCCCACGTCTGGATAGTGGTAGTAGAACGCACAGGGATGGTCCCTTCCCCAGATTCTATTTTTGTTCGTAGCTGTCCTCTCGCTTTACGGTTTGGATGCCTGTCCCCTTGATCTAAATGACAAAAATCACTTACAATCAGCTGAGAAACATTCTCAAAGTGTTTTACAGATAGCATTACAATAAGAAGAGTCAATTAAGGGTATTTGCCTGTGTAACTGCTGGCTTGCATAACAATTTCCATTCCTTCTTGCAAATTAGCTACAGCATCAGACATCTCTCACAAATACTGTCTTCTAAAACACACTTGCAATTAAACCAAGCTTTCCATGAAGGAGCAGTACGCAGCAGGTAGCTCTTCAATTCTATTCTGCGTGTTACAGTGTTAGAATGAAGTTAACAGACAGATCAAGAAAGGGGCAGGCAGACAACCGGCGTTAAAAGATGGAAACAGTGAAACGGTTCGGTTAGTTCTGTACAAATACTTGCTGACTCACTGGCTTATCTTTGCTAGCATTCAGACTCTTCAAGACCACATGATGGATCAGTCTATACTTAACTTCTACCACACAGGAAGAACAGCTCAGATTTTATTAGAAGACACCTTTGTCTAACACACATCTACACTAAAAGGAAAGAAGACACCTACATTTTAACTGTGCCACTTCTACATGCTCAAAGAATACTTTAAACTCCCTTGCTTCAGTAGGACTGCTGTCATACCCTCTTGTGCTGCTTCGTGCGGTGAGAAAATCCTAGCATCGCCACAAGGAGATGTGCTGATATAGAGATGAAACTGCACATTCTCCTTCAGCTTAAACCCGCCTTGCTCCGATTTGATAAAAATGGATTTTTGTTGATCATCTTTATTGCTGAAACAGAGAATAAAGCTAGAGTTAAAACTGACATTAACACGCAAATAACCATAAGCTGGGCAGTCTTTTAATAGGCATTAAAAACAAAGACAGGATGTCTGGAAATTTTACAGTATAAATCTAACAGTAATTACAATTAACAAAATTAAAAGATCATTGAGACGAGAAATAGAGAGCCCTTGACATCCCCAGATGTCAAGAGCTTTCAGGCACTTACCAACAAATGAAAAATCCTCACCCTTTAGCCCACTTGAGATTATTTTGATTTACATGTTTGCAGTTTACAAAATGATTCCCAATTATTTTTTCTCTCCCCCCCCCTCTCATGACTGACACCTAACTGAATACATATTTTGTTAAAGTCAAACTTTAGGGCAAAGGGCCTGAGTACTAAATTAAGCATCCTAATGCAACAGGACAAGTGTTTCACATTGAAATAATTAAGACAGATGTTTTACACAGACACCTTTTCAGCTCTGCATGATCAGCTCATCCTCCTTTTCCCTCCAGCTTACCTTAGATAAAGCTCAAGTTGCGTATACAGAAATTTAAGCAGGCACCGGCGAGATATAATTTCTGCATGGCAATCATTTAATGCAAGACCACGATCACTCATGTATTCACCATTGATGCATTTTGTTCCTGTAGAAACACTTATTACCAGGGCATCTTTCACATCTGTACCTGCAAAACAAAATTTCAGGAAGAAGATGCAATTAAAATCACAAATAATCTAGCAAGTGATCTTCTTGCAGAACCCAGACAAGGCTCCCTTTTTTGGTTTTTTGTTTGCATCTTTAAAAAAAGTTTTTTCTTCTGCTACTTTCTTTAAAGCAAAAGCTTCACTCAGCTATACCCTCCCTGTACCAGTACGGTCTATGGTTTTTGTTGGTTCTTCATGTTGGAGTTCAGACAAGTTAGAAACTGAAAACCTGCAGTAAAAAATTGCTGCTTCAGGCAGTGCTTTTTTCCTGAGCCCCAGGCAGCCAGCTACCTTCCAGCATGTACCTACCTTCTGGCCACCTATGTAGATATTCATAGCGATTTTAGAAATCTGAAAGGCACTGATTTATTAAAACAGCAACACTATATGGAAGGGTATTAAGCCAACAACAGGAGAGGTAAGACTAGGGAATGAAGGCGTTTAAATGCTTAAACCACTGTAAAGCTTATCAGCAGTATAATACTTCTAGAAGTGTAGCTCTTGGTACTAAATCATTCTGTACAATAGAATTAAAAAAATATTTTGGGTGTTTTCTATACAGAGAACTGTCTTTATCACATACCAAAAGAAAAAAAAAGGTCAGCTGCATAAAGAATTCAGAAAAATGGGTCAAAAATGTTACATCCCTCTAACAAAACACTCAGCAAAAAAAGCCCCAGCAAGGCACACTAATTCCTCTGAAGCTCTTGAGGCCTCACCAGCAGAGGCAGATAGTGGTCAAGCCCTGCCAAATGCCTTCTGCTGTCTTCCTCCCACAGAATACTTACTGCAGTATGGAGAAGCAGAAAAACCACCTTCAATGCACCCCAAGTACCTAGAGTTGAGGATCCTCCCATAACCACCTGGCTGCACAATGGCAGTGCCAATATAAGGGGCATAACTAGTAATTAGTAAGGGCATTGGTAACTGAGTAATTAGAAAGGTAATTGAGACATGGACTGTTTGAGCTCTCACTCCTGATGAAATACATGGCCTTAAAAAAATGAACCTGAGCCCAGCTGCCCCCTCCTGCCCACAGGGCTGGAGGAGATGACCATGGAGGAGAAGCAGAGAACCACTTCACTCTGCAACATAAAGCTGTGCAATGGGGTCATCTAGTTCCAGGGGTTCCCCAGACATGTATCCATGCAAAGATGGTTTCTAATTCTGTGTAAAGCTATTTCTTCAGTTAATCAAAATGTATTCACATGTTAATTAAGTCTCAGTTCTTTGGTCACATGGCTCTTCTGGGAATTGTGGACATAGGACTGTAACTACAATAAAAAGTTGTTAAATATCACAAAACATATATTAAACTACAGCATGTTCCTCACAGGGCTTTGCATTTGGGGCTAAAATGGTGTTGGCACCACACAAATGTTTTGGCTGTTGCTGAGCAGTGCTTGAGGAGCATCAAGGCTTTCTCTCCAAACCTCCCAAAGGCCAGTGTGCTGGGAGTGGGCAAGAACCTGGGAAGGGACACAGCAGGGACAGCTAAGCAAGAGTGACAAAGGGATATCCCACACCATAAGTGTTGTGCTCAGCAACAAGAGCCCAGGGAAAGGCAGAGAGGATGTTCGAGGCTACAGCATTTACCTACCCATGAGTCTTCTCACCCTTCTTCCATTCTCTCCCCATGCCCCAGGAGAGGGCAGCAATCAAGAGGCTGGGTGGGTGTTTGACTGCTGGTCAGGGTCAGCCCACCACAGATGTCTTGTGACAGAGTTTGGGCCACACTGCCCCATTGTCACAGTCCCCTGGGCCTAGAGCATGCAGTTATCATCTACCCTAACCAGCACCCTCAGACCTCTCTGGTCTGTGGAGGAGGCCCCTACAAACATCGCTGCAGGAGGAAAGGGCTGGTGTTGCCCAAATCACTAAGGGAAGGCTATACATTTATCACCAATATCCATCCGACTCATACAACTAATTGAGGACATTTCATTACAGGCCCAAAATGAATGTCCCATAAAGGGTTCAGATGGACTGAAGACCAAGATAAATCTTAGCCCGAGGAAAATTTAGCAGCAGCATGGTCACAAATCAGCTTAGAGCAGAACTTCACTGTTTTGGGTGATCTCGCAGAGCATGGATCTCATGCCAGCAATCAGAGAACCATGACATTACTGCTCCCTGTACATGCACATCAGTGTCAGCTGCCAAAACAGAAGCTGTTTTCTTCAGATATTTTTACTAAACTGATTGAGATACAAAGGAATAAGAATAAAATACAGCAAGAAAAATTCTAACAAAGTACAAAACCTTAAAAATTTGGAAAGCAAGCATAATTTGTTACATAATATGCCAAAAACCAAGAATGCCATCTGTGTGACCAATGCGGTGAAATTTATTTTAGATTTACTTTCAAAAAGTTGCACTATTACTTTTAAAAGATACACGTATTTTGTAGACCATGAGTTATCTCAGATGTCTCAATCCTGTCTTCTGACAGGAATTCTGTGGAAACAGAAGTATTTGCAGGTCTAATTTTCTTGTAATTATCTTTAGCCAAGATCTAATTGCTATATTTAGTGCACCTTGAAATTAAAAGAGTAAAAATATATTTCAATACTGGTTGACTGAAAAAAGATAGTTTCCTAGAATGCAAACAGAGCTTTCACATTTAAGCCGTTAAAATAGTAGGTTTTTTTTTTCTTTACCTGTTGTCATGACAATTCCAGCAAGGACTTTTCTACGTGCATGTGGAGATGTGAAATTTTCTGTCAAATCACTGAATTTATCTACAACCAAGCGTGCAACAGCATCAGCTAAAACCTGTAGGATCACACAGAAATGCACATTAGAAAATTAAATAAATATTTTAAAAATTACAGCAGCATTAGGTTATAAAGATTTGCATTTCTAAATGATTTGACACAATAAAACAAATTTTTATTGTTCACTTTAAAAAAGGACATTAAGGCATCAGCAGTATGTCAAGGAGGTGGTTGGGTCCAATTTTCAGGCATACTGAGCACTTGCAGCTCTTTTGTAAGTGGAAGCAGAGCTCTGTGTGCTCCATGTCTATTAAAACAGGGTCAGACAGCCCTAAGCCAAGCATCAAAGTACCTAATGCTCATGATCGTTAGGAACATTTGAGGCTTAGGAGAACAACTGGGTAGACAGATAAGTCTATACTTTCATGCTCAAACCTCAAAACGGATCATTTCACTGTCCTCAACATTGGACCTGACAAGAAGATTGAAGTGCAAAAACCAGGCTCCTCAAACAAACATGTAAAGCTTTTATAACAATTGAATTCATTATCTAGCTATTATATAAATAAGAACAAAACTGTTTTCAACACCAGTTAAACACTGTCTATTTCTTATTTTCACAAGACATACAAATTTAGGAGTAGAAAATGTCAATGTATAACCCAAAATAAGCTCTCTCAAAATTAGGAAAGATTTCTCTCTTTCACCTTCAGGAAAATTGGAACAATAACAGTCACAGCCTTGTATCTTGCCAACAGGGTTAGCAAGCAATGTTGTTCAGTAAGGGGAGCTAACTTCGAAGAAAACTTCAAAATACCAGTCCTGCTCTTGTTGAACAACAGTTCAGTTCAACACTCCAGCTAATCTCACCTGCTGTTTTTAAGGCAGCTGGAACCATAACAGCTAAAAGAGATGAGTCAAGATCAAATTCTTGAATTTTCACCTGAAAAGAAACTGAAAACCAGGGCAATCTGTGCAACACCATCGCGAGCACAGCTGGTTGCTCCCAAGGGAGTGACTGAGAAAGGCAAGTTACATACTAGACGGCATGATGAGCAGTCCCCAGGCTGGCAGGAGAGACAGGGCAGCCCGTCCCCACCCATCTTCCACCAGCACTGGGACCGGCAGCTGGAGAGGAGGAGTGGACAGCCAGGGAGGGAGTTCAGATCCCTACCTCAGGGCACCAGGAGTAGAGCTTGATCCAGTTGTCCATGTGTCGGCACCCAGCAGTATCTGAGATGTTCTGGGGTAACCACCTGGCCCACAGGTTGACACACCAGAAGGACACTGTGTCATACCTGCCAGCACCATGCAGATGTCTTACATACCCAAGAGCATCCAACATGGTGCTAAACACACACACAAGCAACTACAACAAGCCCAAAAGGACACTTGTGGCTGAGAGTCTTCTGCTTACAAACTGTCTTTGGCCTTTCAGTAATGGAAGATGATCACCACCCTCACCCCTAGAAGGGGCTCAAGGCAGATCAACAGAGCTGATGGGCAGCAGTGTACAGAGCTTGGAGGCACCCACTTGAAATGGCACAAACTCTTGAACACAATCAGTTCTAAAAACAGACTGCCAGGGTGAAAAGAAAAGAAAGAAAAGAAAAAGAGGGTTTGAAGACTGCCAGTCTGATTCACCACCATTTTCTTAACAACACTCATGAGTACCGACAGCCTAGAAATAATGTGGAGGAACTCTCAATGTTAACTTCCTTCTGGAAAAGCTTTAGCAGCCAAGGAAGCAATAATTAAAGCTCACGTGTCATGATTTCAGAGCTCGACAGCTTTTTCCAGAAACTGACTGGAGACAGTGACCAGCAGTCAATGGCAACTGAGGTCACATCTGTACCAAGTGTTGGTCCATGTTTTGCAATTGCACAACTTACAGAGTCAGAAGACTCTCAACATTGCAAATACAAATTTTCTTGATGCATTTGAATGGACTGCAACTCAGAAACTCTTATCAACAGATTGAGAAATTTTTCAGGAACACAGTTTTGCTCAGAGGCTACAAACATGTCTGGTCAGGCACTGATTTTCAAACAAGGTCTTTCTGCTGCTGGACCCAAATTGTGTTACAATCTGTGCTCTGACAGCACCATGACCACGCAGCGCAAAATCTGCATTTAATTGTACTAGTACTTACCTAATGCAGAAAGCTGACTTGAATGCAAATACACAAAAGAAAAATAATGAGCAACAGTTTTATTATCACCCTGGTTTTAGAAACAGAAAATTAATACGCAAAAGGCTTACATGATTAACTTCCCTGCAGCCACACGGGCAGATCACTGCAGGGACAAGAAACAGAGTCCCCATTCCAGTGTTTTATTCATAGCCCCACTGCATAATTATGGATACTGCTTCCCAGCTGCAAGTTTTATGCTCTCATTTCTGTAATACGTGTATTTTTCTGCTCTACCTTACATCATGATGTGCCGGACAGAACAACACAGCTGGCAGCTGACAAGCTACCAGGCAATGTAAAATCATGCTGAATGACATTATGATGGAATATACTAGTGAAACAAACTTTTCCAAATAGGGATGGACCTGATCCACAAAGAGAATACATGCTTCACAGAGGCCTCAAAGCCTGCCAGAAAGGCTTGCCATCCAGGTAATAAACAATATGGGTCACCCCTTCTCAAAAAGTGTGAGAATGATGACTGGTAACTGGAGGAGTCTTCTCCAACACTGAGCTACACAAAAACACAGAAGTTCAGCACGTACCAGAAATGGTGATTCCAAAATGCTGAACCAAAATTGACCAGTTGCCAAGAGTGAACACAGAGGAACGCTTCTTCCAGGATCACGAAACACGGGTAACCCACTACACAGATCCTCAACCTACCCAACCAAATGGAGATTGATCTACAGAGGCATGTGATTACCCATTCCCTGGGGGAACCACGGCTAGCTTGAGGGGGTTCTTATCAAGAGGTGGGAACTAAAACTGCCAGGCATTTCTGGAAAGAAACCCATGGCCAACTTACCTTGCCAATACTGTTGACAAAAAGGCTACGTGAACAGCAATTGAGTAGGATGCTTGCATATAGGGTGGACACATTAGCTTTTTCCAAAAAGATTATTTTTTTCAGATAATAAGCAAAGCAGAGGAAACTGTGGTGTTGGTATACAAGTGAGAACACAGTGAGTCCCTCTGGGAAGATGTAAGCTGGCACAGAAGGATGAGATGGGGCTGCATCTCAAACAGTGTGGAACTAAGCTGCTGGCAAAGAAACCTAAAAATGCTTGAATGAACATGAAGCCAGACACTGGGGAGGGGATAAGAAGGACTAAGCAGAACTTAAGTGAGACAAAATGACCGCTAGAGATGCAAACAATGCAGGAGGAACTGTAGGGGAGGGGGGGAAAAAACCACTGCCAGAAAACAGGCAGATGTATTAAAGACTTTTTTATTCTGTTTGATACTCAAGTTGCATGACAACAGGTGGGTGGAGAGGAATAAACGCTATTAAATGTCTACAGATTTAGTTACTAAGGTTTTGGTCTTTTATAAGAATACTCACCCCAATAAATTAGAAGAATTATCCTTTTCTCCCAGGTGGTCTATTACATTAACATAGTTAACAGTCACTAAGAGCATGGAAGAGATGGGAATAAGGCAGGCTATGAACAGACCACTGCAGCATCGGGAACAAGACATACTGGCCTAAAATGATGTCCTTGCTGGCCCCATCTCAAAACCAAGGACTTGAAGCTGTCTCCACACCAAGCCCAGGTCACTGACCAGCCTGGGTAGGGATCTTTCACTTCTCATTCTGACTCTACTCCCTTTCATATAAATAAGTATTAATTGGAACAGAAATTGAACTTAGAATAATAGAATCATAGAATCATTTAGGTTGGAAAAGATCTTTAAGATCATCCAGTCCAACCATTAACCTAATATTACCAAGTCCACACTAAACCAATTAAGGGTAGACTAGACTAAACCATGTCCCCAAGTGCTACGCCTACCCATTTTTTGAACGCTTCCAGGGATGGTGACGCTACCACCTCTCTGGGCAGCCTGTTCCAATGCTTGACTACTCTTTCCGTGAAGAAATTTTTCCTAATATCCAATCTAAACCTCCCCTGGCACAGCTTGAGCCCATTTCCTCTTGTCCTATCACTAACTACATGGGAGAAGAGACCAACACCCACCTCACTACAACCTCCTTTCAGGTAGTTGTAGAGGCCGAATAGGTCCCCCCTCAGCCTCCTCTTCTCTAGGCTAAACAATCCCAGTTCCCTCAGCCGCTCCTCATAAGGCCTCTGCTCCAGACCCTTCACCAGCTTCGTTGCCCTTCTCTGAACACGCTCCAGCACCTCAATGTCTTTCTTGTATTGAGGGGCCCAAAATTGGGCACTGTATTCCAGGTACGGCCTCACCAGCGCTGAGTACAGAGGGACAATCACCTCCCTGCTCCTGCTGGC